GAGCCCCGAGATCCAATTCTAGGCCAGGAAATGGCACAGCAGCAACAATTCAGCCTTCAAGGTTTGGCCGCCCTGGTTTGATAGAAGGCTCTACCAGCGTAGAAGCCAAAGTACTCCTGGTACTGCGCTTCAGATACGAAGATCAAGCGCTGTCCGCCGGTTTGTGGCACAGTCTCTGTCCTTGTCAGCAAAAGCACCAGGATGTCAGCTGTGTCGCATGCTTTGTCACGCTCGTTCTCCACTATGAATGGAGAATTGCCCTTCTTGCATTGCAAACATTCAGAGATCGTGTGATTGTTGCCCTCTGCCCTCACCTCTTCCAACATGAGAAAGGCATCAGCAGCTGGAGCTCCGGCAGCATTCACGACCAAAACACGTTTGTCAGTCAACGTCACTGTAAGGTTTTGGTTTGTCATTTCAACTACGCACTGGTGCATTCCCAGTCCCTTAAGTAAATTTGTCCGAGCTTTGGGATTGCCGCAGCATGAGGACCTCGACAACAATTGCTTCCTGGATTTGGCAAATTGCAGATGCCGGTTGATGACCTTGGTGCTTTTCAAGCTGTCAGGCTGGATCACTGCACCCCTGTGTAGATCGGCAATGTCAACTAGTTGTCCATCCTCAAACGCAGAAGCTCGCAACACTCGAAACCTGGCATTGAATTCTTCCCACTGTTGCCAGGTTGGTTCTGACTCAAACAAGCGGTAGTCCATCAAGTTCCACGGTTGCAAATCGTCAGAGAACTTAGACAAACTCAGCATCAAGTACAACCAAATGTAGGGCAAGTCGATGCGGTACTGCGAGGAGTCGCCGTCCTTGAACTTGACGCGGATAAGCTCCACCTTCTCAGGATCTAGATTGCCGACCATTTCGCCAGACAAAATCCATCTGCCTGACAGAGCTGCGCGAAGCAGTTCCTTGAGGTCTGCACCCGGCTCCATCTGAGTGGCGTCAGGATACTTCTGCCTCAATTGTCTCATAACTGCACCCACCAAGGCAGTTGCTGCAGCGTTGGGCATCTCCATCAAGGCCTCTAGAAGGCACTCCAAAGCTCTGCCATGCCCGCCCATGTCTTCGACCAGGAGGTCTTTTAGGCGGTGGCCGGGCAGCACCGGCTGTTTGTTGCGGGTTACGGCGGTCACGCGTGGCAGCTCCAGAAAAACTCGGGCCTGGGGACTGCCAGCAAGTCCACTCTTCACATTTTGCAAAGCGGCCACACAAGCTACGACAAAGGGACCTTCCATTTGGTTGATGAGGCGGCAGACCTCCTGCATCACCTGATAGAATGGCAGGTCCTTGCCCGCAGCATCACTGCGCTCGGTAAATCCAGGCAGACCTTGCATCCCGTCGACTCCGATCACCACCGTGCTATGATTGAGCTCATCACACAGCACAGCTGCAAAGACATCCTCTGCAACAAGGCTATCGGAGCATTCGACGCGGAATTTTGCAAAAGTCTCTGGAGCGCCGACCTCCCGAAAAGCCTCTTTGTTTGCATTCCGCAGCTGCCACAGCATGCGGCATGCCACAAAGCGTTGGGCATTGAGCTCCACCGTGGCCCAGTCCCCGGAAGAGAGGCCGTTCTCGCAGCTGATCATGAAGCTCGTCGTTTGCTTGCTGAATTTCAGTTTCTGCCTTTCAGACACATTCTGCAAGCACTGCTCGACCAGGCCCGGGAACTCTGTCAGCAACCGGGACTTGCCTTGCCCTGGGCCTGCAAATGCGATGAACAAAGGATGAAGCTGTTTGTCACTGTTCTTCCCCTTTTGCTCGTGCAGCTTCTGGATGGGGATCTGCATGCTTTCACGCAGCACCTCCTTCCCACAATAGTCCCATGTGGCCCCAACTGTTGCAAGCAGTTGGTCGGCTGCTCCAAACTTCAACTTCTTCGCGAGCAACTTCTCGCACCAACTGCTCCGTGCCTGTCTCCAAAATCGGGCGCGGAGGAGTGTAAGGACATCAGCAATTGTTGGATTTATCGAGTCGGGTGGCTCCGCCTCAGCAAAAGAACTTCAAATCAGGCAGATATGAGCAGGTACATCTAAAATTGAACAATAGAAGGGGATGGAATGGCAGCACAACGGGCCAAACCATCGAACAGGAACTCTGCCCGTGGATGCAAAGCCGGGAATGTATGGTTGAACTCACTGCATCAAAGAGAACATTCACAGAATGCACTTGGGCCTTCAGCAGCCAGGACCCCAATGGGTGCAGAGACATAAAGACATCAGAGTTTGCCCTCCCTCTCCCCGACGGCAGACGGGCAGGTCTTGCTCTTTCAAAAGCAGGCTGGGGGCAAGCGCAAAATCACTCACAACGATCAACGGCACGTCTCAATCAATGTCGACCGGCAGGAATGACCGACCTCCAACAAGGAAAGGCAACCATCCGTTCATGGGGGCTCCATACCGAGCCTGCCAACGACACGAACCGCCGCAATCTGCAAAAATGCTATCTTGGGATTTCCTGGTTCTCTGGATGCGATCAGGGCAGCCCCACCAAAACCATGTGCGGGCCGCGGGGGGAATTTCAAAACCACACACAACGACCAACGGCTCAGAACGCAGCCGGCCGGCGGAAGCGACCGACTCCGCCCGCCTCGGACTCCTTCGTCCGGCCGCTTGCCTTCGCCTCCTCCTTCTTCGCTTCCTGGACCTTCCTCTCCGCCTCCTGGACCTTCCTCTCCGCCTCCTGGACCTTCCTCTCCGCCTCCTGGACCTCCTTCTTCGCCTCCTGGACCTCCTTCTTCGCCTCCTGCACCTTTGTCGCATTGCCCGAGTCCTCCGCCGTCTCCAAGACGGTGGCAGCTCGAGCGAGACGCCTCACCGCCATCGCTTCCTGCTCCTGGGCGCTCTCAACCTGCCGCTGGGCGCTCTCAACCTGCCGCTGGGCGCTCTCAACCTGCCGCTGGGCGCTCTCAACCTGCCGCTGAGCGCTTTCAACCTGCCGCTGGGCGCTCTCAACCTGCCGCTGGCCCGTCTTCCGCTGCTGTCGCACCAGGAGCAGGTCCTGCCCAGGCCGACTCCCACGCCGAGCGCTCGAACGCGCTCGAACGGACGGCCTCCTCCAATGCCGTTTTGGCTGCTTTGGCCTGAAAAGCACCCACAACAAACGTGCATTTTGAAAATGTCACGAAAGCGCTTCTGAATCTGACCTGTTGGTAAAGGAAGCAAACACTGCTGCCTCTGCCACAAACTTCCGCAGCTGCTTCTCCAATTCGGGCTTATTAACCCAAACCTTCCACTTCCCTGCTGGATCTACCAGCTGCACTCTTCCTGAGCTCAACCGCGCCTGCAAATCCACAACGAACGTATTGACGTGCTGCTAAAGCGGCGCATGACCACTTGCATGTCTTTCAGCGTGCCGTTGTCCACAACCCGTTTGGCTTCTGCGACCACCTGAGCGAGACAAGGCCGGGACGTCGCTTTCTCTGAAGGCCCGCCGCCTCCTCGAGATGGAGCCGGTCCTGGCAGCCAAGAAGCCCAGCGTTCTGATGCACATGTCCCCCAGGCCTCGGCATTGTTGTCCTGGCAACTGCAATCGTCCAAACTTGCAAGCTTTGGGTCCGAAGGTCCTCTCGTGCAGCCCTGGCACGCAAGGCGACTCCAGCATGCAACCAGCGCTGGCTCGATGCCTCACTAAGCTCGCAGGATGCGAAAAGGGTCAATCTGCTTGCGTTAGTGGACAAGTCTGAAGATTGGGCCGGTGCGCCGTTGCGGTCCTCGCATCACAGCACAAGCAGGAACATTCGCAAAGAGGGACTTCACGGTCCTTCCGACCGGGAACTCCTCGCGAAAACTCGTGGGCGGCGGACAGGGACTCCTGAAGCCCGAACGAGTCAGCTGCCAACCCCTCAACGTTCCCAAGACCCAGGCCGTGCTCGGCCACTGCAATGAGCAACGCCAGCGCATTCCCAGGCTGAGGCACGCACCTTGCAAAACCACACAACAAACAGCGCAGCATATCAGCTTGCGGGCCTTGGCTTTTTATCCTGGCCCTCATCACAGCCATGGCCATTCCTGAACTTCACGGGCCTGCAAGGCCAATCCTACCGCTGGATACGTCGGCAATGTTTGCCCAGTGCCTTCAAGCATTTGATGAGCACTCTTGGGCGGCGGACGACTTCTTGCGTGCCAACATGTCCTTGCTGCTTCGTGTTATGTTGGTCCGCGTGTTCACGACCCTACGCGGCTTGTTTACTAGCACTCTGGTTGCCGCTGGCGCTGCTGGAGCCGTCAAAGACGCCACCTTGCCGATGCCCTTGCACTGGACTGACACTCAAAGCTCCTTTCGCTCCCCGAATGCCCCAAATTGCCTGTACAGTCACAAAGATCAACTATGCTATCTCGCCGCCGGGGGTCAAAAGGTAAGGGTCTGCCAATACACTTCAAGAGCATTGTGAACTTCGCATGGAGGCGGACACTGCTGATTTTTACATGGCTGGCATCCTTCATGGAAGAAGAGCGTGTCCCAGGCCTGGCCACTGTTGTCCTGGCGGCAGCCGGCAAAAGATGCGAACTGGCTTCGGGTCGGAGGAGTCCTCTTGCGCAGCCCCGGCGCGCCGAGCGACTCCGGCATGCAACGGGTGCCGTTTTGCCTGAAAGAGCCAAAGTGCAATCTGCTTGCGCCTGCGGGCAACTCTGAGAACTGGGCCAATATGCTGTCCTGGCACTCAGCACGAAACAAGAACATGCAAAGGAGGGACTTCATGCTCCTTCAGCCCAGGAACTCCTCGAGCAAAGTCCTGGGCGGCGGCGACAAGGGACTCCTGAAACCCGAAAACCTTCGAAAAAAATGTGTCCCAAGACCCAGGCCGTGCTCGGCTGCACGAGCAGCGCCAATGCAATCCCGAGAAGGCAGAGGCACATACCTGGCCGCTGCCTACCGCGGGCACGGTAGCGTCACAAGCTTGCCAGCCTCGGCTTTTGGTCCTGGTCCGCATCATCGCCATGGCTATTCGAAAAGCGCTTGAGCGGCCTGCGATTCCTCAAGCACTGGCACTAGACCCATCGGGCAACCATTGCGAGCTGTTGTTGTGTCAGTGTTGATGAGTACCCTCGAGCCAAGTTTCCAGAGCAAACACAAGATTGACTGGCTTCTTTGGCAACACCAACGCACGGGTGCTCCTCCTCCTTTTCACTCGCGGCCTGAAGGTCGGTCGGGCCAAGCCTTGCAAGGCTTCGCAGCGTCCATCCGTCAGACTGGCTGACCCACATCCTGCCGCTGCATCAAAGTCCAAGCGAGATACCAAACTGGCCTGCCTGCAAAACAAGCAACCGAAATCGGCACCGCGGAAGTCACAAGCTGTCGTGCCCTGGAGGGCGGGGGTTTCAGGGGTCTCTGAAAGTTTTGAGGTTTCTGGGGCGCCTGGCGTTGCTGGGGTCCCTGAGGTTCCTGGGGTCCCTGGATGAGACGCTGTCAGAGGCAGGCATGGCTGCACGCGGAGCGCCAAGCTGCAGGCTCCGCCAGTCCTCCACGGACTCCTCCTGCAGGAGGCGCCCCAACGCCTCCATGCGCTCGGCGTTAGTGCGGCTCTTGGCCTGCGCCATCACTGCGTCGGCCACCTGCAGGGCCTTTGTGTCACCGGCCAAGACGGCGGCCTGCAAGTCTTCCCAGTCAGACTTGGCCGGCTCGCCGTCACCCTCACGCTTGCCGCGGGCAAGGTCGCCGAGATAGCCCGCAACTGCATTGAAGGACATAGCAACAAGATCCACAAGCAACTTTCAGATTTCAGCCAAAATCAGCTTCGCAAGCCCTCACATCCAAAGTCTGATCAACTCGTCTGCCAAATTCTGACCAACTCCTCCGAAAGTCACATGTGCACATGCTGCTGCTGGAATCTGCTGGGCACCAGGCGTCTTCCACTGGCCCGGCCTGGGCCGACGAGCGTCCCTGGGGTCCCTGCAGTCCCTGGGGTCCCTGGGGTCCCTGGGGTCCCTGGAGTCCCTGGGGTCTTTGGGGTCCCTGGGGTCCCTAGATTTTCTCGAATTTGCGGTGGGCAGTATCTGAAGCACCCAAGGTCCCTGGAGACCCTGGGGTTTGTGGGGTTCCTAAAGGTTCTTGGTGGGCCCCCCTCAAACAAATCCGCAAGCATGCTGCTCCTACACCAACGAGCGGGGTTCGTAGGGTCCCTGGTCCCTCTGAAAACCCTGGGTACCTTTGCGGGGGAATTACATTCTTGTGGGATGGTATCGCCCGAGCTGAGAGCTATCAATAGATTCCTTTGTTCCATTCCTGGGAAGGGTGTTCCTTCTTGAGAGGGTTCCTGTGAAATCTCGTTTGCGGATTCTCTTGAACAACCAAGTAATAATCTAGTTGCAGGCTTTTTGAATATGACGGCACCAGGGACCCTAGGGACCCTAGGGACCCTAGGGACCCCGGGGACTCCGCAGGTCTTGGAAGGGGGGAGCCTCTGGGAAGTGGCGTGCCTTGAACCTCCATTGAACAAAGTCGTTCTGCTACGCAAACCAAAGCAACGTAGACTATCAATCTAAAAATCTGCAAATCTAGAAATCTAATAATGTAAAGATCTATAAATTAATAAATCTACAAATCTAAAAATGTATGAATGTATAGATCTACAAATCTAGAAATCTAATAATGTAAAGATCTAGAAATTGATAAATCTACAAATCTAAAAATGTATGAATGTATAGATCTACAAATCTAGAAATATAATAATATAAAGATCTATAAATTGATAAACCTACAAATCTAAAAATCTATGAATGTATAGATGTACAAATCTAGAAATATCATAATATAAAGATCTATAAATTGATAAATCTACAAATCTAAAAATGTATGAATGTATAGATCTACAAATCTAGAAATAAAATAATATATAGATCTTTAAATCGATAAATCTATGAATGTACACAAATAAATAGATCTGTATCTACTGAAACCGATACATGATCAAAAACCACTTCACAAGTCGCTTCCAGCAAAAAACCTGCAATTGACCGCAGGAATGTTCGTTGCACCCCACCTTGTCACCCCAGGTACCACAGGGTGTCCCCGGGTCCCTAAGGTCCCTAGGGTCCCTAGGGTCCCTGGCGTCCCCTGGGGTCCGCAGGGTTTCCAACGACGCTTCAGATTGACGGATGCTTGCGTCAAGAACGCTAGGGAACCTTCAGGGACCCCAGGGACCCTAGGGACCCTAGAGACCCACAAACACAGGAAGATCCACGTGGCCTCACCAGGTCAACTTGGCAAATTGGACCAGACCATGAAAACGCCGCGCAACCTGCACAGGAGTCCTGTAGAACGAATTGTGGATCCACCTTGCAAGCGGCCAAAAAAATGTGAAAAAAGGCAACTCCAAAGGGCCGCACCGCGAGAAGATCTGCACGTCGCAGCGGATCCTGGCACCTGGCATGTGACGTGATTGCTCGGCGGGTCAAACATAAAGGGAGCCTGACAGACGGTGAGTTGAGCAAGAGCCTCACGGATCACCTCAAAAGATCAGCTGCGCTTGGCGACGGCAACGAAACAGCAACAGGTCCGGGCAATGTAGATCCCGCGGTTAAACAAGCCTTGGCACGAGAAGCAAGGCTTGTTGGGCCCAAACCTCCAAGATCAGTTGGGCTTGGCAGTGACAGCGCAAACGGCCAAGCGAAGGCCCAGGCGGTAGATCTCGAGGTCAAACAAAGCCTGTTGCGGGACGCCGTTCTCCAACTCCACATGGCCGGCACACTGTACGTGGGGTCGAAACCACGCCTTGCACCCGCAAGCGGTTCCCACCACCCCGGACCCAAAAGTGTCCCCAAAAGGCTGTGGCAAGTGCTCACACCCGACAACGTAAAACCGTGAGAAACTAAACCGGCGTTCTTTTGGTCGTGGATTGCCGACATAAAAGAACACGCCCGCCGGGAGATCCCAGGGACCTCAGGGACCCCAGGGACCTTAGGGACTTCAGGGACCTCAGGGACCCCGGGGACCCCAGGGACCCCAGGGCACCCAGCACACCCAGGACTGACAGATGAGACTGCAAGCACCACACAACTCGCCGAGACATGTTTTTTTTGTGTGAAAAATAAGCACATTTGGCACGCGCACGCACGCAGACGCGCAAAAAAAACTGCACATCACATAGTTTCCTTTGTTGCCCGTGTTCCCCCAAACGCATCCTGTTTATTCCCCTGTTCCCAAAAAAAACATAAAATGGCGGCCAGGGAGCCTGTCGTCACCTGTGGCCAGCATCTGTGGCCAGCGCCTGTTCCAGCTGCCTGCTTGGCAGCCCTTTTAGCGCTTGCTCAGCGCCTCCGCCGCTTGCTCCGTGGCCCCCGCCAGCCAATCCCTGGCACCACCCGATCGCCTGCTGCCGGCAAAGAAAGCTGTGCTCTGCGCTTGCTCACCCTTCCCTCACCAGCCGCTGCCCTTCAGCCCCCGATCGCGTTTTGCGGCCGGTGTGGGAAGGTTTCTCATCAAAAAAACAAATCAGGGCAATATGCCAATTTTTCAAAGGTGAGCCCTCGTAGACTTTCCATGTACAATCGTGGTTTACGACCCAACCTCTCGCTGATGGACTTGCCGAGGTGCTACAGGGGGGCACGGTTCGGGGACACCTCAACCTACCTGGGGGGGCCTGGGGATCAACGCAACATCACGGGGGTCAATGGCTGGACGCGGGCCCGGGCCGAGAAAACCTGTCCGCGGGCTACAGGTAGCTCTTGCCAGGGCAGCTCACAGCCGAGGACCCGTCTGCCATCCGCCGTGTCCCTGGCCCTCGATCCGGCCTCGGCCGCCTCCCTGATGTGCTCCAGGATGCCATTGTCGGGTTGCTTTGCTTAGGCCGGCCACAAAAAGTCGTCCGAGCAAAAAAAACTTGCATGAAAACTGGTGCGAACTTGTGTGCACGCGCGCGTTTTTGTTTTGTGTTGTGCGAGACCCCAGGCAGCCGGCTGACTACGTGCTGCTTCAGAACGGGCAGCGGGGCCTCGTGCGCACAGCTGACGAACCTCGGGCGGCGGTTTTTCAAGGACAAGTACTCGCAATACGTGGCCCACATCCCCGCCCTCATCCGGGGCACCCGAAGGTCGGGCAGGAAAGCCGGCAAGCCCTACGAGCGCAAGGACTGGCTGCCCGCGAACATTCTGGGCGGACGCCTGAGCCGGCAGCCCGACGGCTGCGCAGATCCTCCGCAACGTGAAGGAGCAGACACTGCGGCCACAGGGGACGAGGAGCGGACCCTCCCGTGTGGGCCATTGAGAACCCGCAGACGGAGCTTCTGAAGAGCCGTCCGTTCGTGCTGCGGCTCCCCTACGTCGACGTTACCTACTGCCGCTACGGAACGCCCTACCGCAAGCAAATGCGCCTGTGGACCAACATGCGATGGAGGCCAAGCCGCGGGCTCTGCAAACCCAGGTCGCCCGAACGGGCGCTGACGCCACTCAGGGGCATCTTGGGCACACGCTCGCCGGCAATGAAGCTGCGGCGCAAGTAGCCCACAGCACCGTGTCGTCGTACGTCCCGGCAAGGACCAAGAGGCAGTGGAAGTGCTCCGAGGCTCGGTTCTGAGGGTACTGGAGGCTGCCCAGCTGCATCTGCGACTCCAGAAGGCTGTCCTCCTGCCTGGCTGCGCCGATGGGCGCCACGTCCTGTTGCGGGGGCCAGCAAGTGGATCTTCGAGCCCGCGTCGTTGTCCCAGAAGGTCACGAACGCGCCCATCAGTTTCGTGAAGGCGCGCGCCACGGTGACGTTGTGCTCCGCGACTCCGTTCGGGACGCTGGACTGCTGCGTGTGCACCGTGGGGTCTGAGAGGAGCACGCGGTTGAAGGACTCTACCAGCGCAGAGTCCAGGACGACCTGCAAGGCCAGAACTCGGACGTTCTGTATCTCGAAGGGTGCTCAGCGTGGCTCCTGCCGGGTGCGCCCCGGCGTTCTCAGCCCACAGCGCAGTTGCGGCGTCCGCGAACTCGATCTCGATCACCAGGTTCAGCTGCGGGGGCAGCATTTTGCCGCAGCGCAGGATGCCCACCATGGTGAGGCGCAGCAGCACGTCCGCGTAGCCGTTCTGGTGCACCGCACGGGCGATGCGGGGGTCGTTGACTTCGTCGAAACCCGCCATGCCTTGTTGCGGTTGTACTCTCGGCCCTTCAGCAGGTCGTGCACGGCCACGGTGCGGCCGTAGTAGTTGATGTCGTCGCAGCGCTGGCCGTTGGCAAAGACCTGGACGCGCTGGACGAAGCAGGCGGGGTTGGGCGTGGCTGGGGCCAGCGGGTTGGCGCCGTCCGTGTTCCTGACGCGGAAGGGACGTGCCGCTGGTCAGCGGGATGCGGCAGACCCTAGAGGTTGTGGGGGAGAACGAGCTCAGCGAGCTGGGGAAGTACTGCACGTCGCGCCGCGCCGTCACGTAGCTGGTGTTGCTTGTTTTCAGCTTGTAGTCCAGGCTCTGCATCAGCTCATCCTGGGCTCCGGCGGTGACTACCTCCATGCTTGTTTATATACACGCATTTTGAGTCGTACGGCGAAGGAAAACTATTCCTCCAGGGCGTATATTGATATAGACTGTGGAAGAATAGCGTTTTGCAGCCCACAACCGCGC